CTGAACAGTTCAGATACTTTGCAGCAGAGTTTGATTTTCAGCATGTTACTTCAAGTCCCCATTTTCCACAATCCAACAGCATGGCGGAACGAGCCATGAAGACTGCAAAATGGATGCTGATGCAGGATGACCCGCACCTGGCTCTTCTGAGTTATCGCTCAACCCCAACAGAACCAACTATTGAAAACCCCGCCAGGCTGCTGATGGGTCGAGAGATCCGTACGACACGGCCAGTCCCGAAAGAGAACCTGCGGCCAATGTGGCCAAACCTGGAAACAGTTAAAAGGAACGATGCCAAAGCAAAACAGTGCTATGAAAAGTACTACGACCACAGGTACTCTGCCAAACCGCTTCCACAACATACCATTGGTGATAAAGTCAGACTGAAGATAGATGGGGAAAATACTTGGACAACCAGAGTGACTGTTCAGCGCCAGGAGGCTACGACACGCTCTTTCACACTGGAGACTGAGCGAGGTGACACACCCAGGAGGAACCGGCTCCACGTCCAACTGTTGAACCAGGAGCTGCCTTCACCTCCGAGGATAGGCTGTTCTCAGCCGAGAGATCGACAGGAACAGTGTGGGCCAGCTGGGCAAGACTTTAGTGTTACTAGAAGTAATGTTCCACCTGACTTGAAAAGCTGCACAAATACAGAATTATTTAATACATACAAGATAGAAACATAAATGTTCTTGAATGTGTTGAGATTTCCAGAGATTTTAGTAATATTTCATTAATGCAATTTGACTTGTTTTCACATGCAATTTCAGGTTCTAATTCCAAGTAGACAGTTTGTGGGTTAATTGGATTGTACTCTGGGACAACAGATAAAAATTATAATCTAAGAATCACAGCTGAAATTCAGGTAAAGGTGAGTGCAGAACAATATGTACAGGATACCAAATCCAAATCACAATCAACCAGCAGGATCAGAAGACAGGTGGGATTCTAGTAACCAGTCGTAGTCAAAAAGGAACTTCGAGATAAAGAAGAACCCAGGAACCCACTCACCACGCAGTGTATCACCTCAGGGATGAGAACCCGAGTGCAGCCATGCAGTGGGTTCCGAATGGACCAATGTGAGCTTTATCTGGTAGCTGGAGAGCCAATCCTGCCCCCAGCCCCCAAACTTCTCTGTAAGTTGAAGAGTTTATTACTTTTTTAGTTTTTTCCATCATCAGACAGTTCTCTGTGCTTCTTTTAGCTTCATCATTGAGTGTGAAATCACAAATCTATGTACTATTTTATACTTTTCCATTACTGGTATGATATGGGCAAAAAGTGAACAAGGATTTCTGTGTAGTTTTATGTAGACCAGAGATGTGCAAATCTGGCCCTTCACTTTGTTTTCCGGCTCGCTGTACACAAACATTCTGAATTTGTTTTATAAATGAACAAAATAAAAACACTTTGAAATCAATACTGGAACATTGTGTTGCCTGATCACTAGGAGGAGCTGGAAACCCAAATTGTTGCAGTGACGGTAAACTAAGCGTATTATAGGGACGGGAAGGCAGGTTTATTTATATAGCACATCTACAGAGTTTAATACTTTGGGCTGATGTTAAGAACATGGCAGAGTGAAAGGTTGGCTTTGAAAAGTCTTAGCTTCATAGAGATAAAAACCCATCCACAGTAAATGGCTTGAACATCTCCTCAATGTCAGGTTTACACACCTGAACATCGGAATTACCACACGAACTGTTCTATCAGTGCACGTCACACCTGCACTTAATGTTTCCCATTATTTTGAAGGTCACTTGATGTTATCCTCCGATTCATGAGAAACTGTCAGATAAGTTGACCGTCATCTCTGGCTTCAGAATGTGGCTTCTGGCTGGTTTCTGGTCGTTCCCAGTGTCTCCTGCTTCACTTTGTTCTTCTGTACTGCTGTCTTAGAAATTTTTAACCTAGAAACAACCTGCTGCTCTGCGTACCCTTCTGCCAGCAGAACCACGATTAAAACTGAATTTTCAAACGCAGATTAGTTTAAAATCATGGAGTAGCCTCTTAATTCTTTCCATGGCTGTTCTCCGGCAGCGGAGGTTGGGATTTGTGGCCCCCTGCTGGGCACAAACAATCACTACACCAAATATTAAATAAGCGCTTTCCTTATTTAGGAGATCCTTATTCAGGCAGCGTGTTTTTGCTCAGCAGCAGGCTAGTTACAGTCTTCTGTCTCCCCTCGCGAGCTATTTTTTTTTGTTTTTAAAACTTATCTGCTGGGTCGGTGCAGTGACCTTTTGAGTAGGGCGCAGAAACAACAAGGCTGCCAGTTAAGACTTCACATTTTATTGTACTGGCTTACAGAGAAGCCAGGGGAGGGGGGCTATAGAGAACATTAATTACATAAAAACACAGGACAGACATATTTTAATAATAAGTATGAGACATGACAGTGGACTGATGGGAACCGTTCTTTCTGTAATGAGCATGAAACTGCCGTCTAACAGCCTGCCCCTTACTTTTCCAGGTGGTGCTTCACCTGCCGCCCACCGTCTTGAACATTAGCGACGTCGAGGTGCCGTCGTGCCTCGCTAACGGAGAATACGAAGCCCAGATTACCGTTTCCAGCGGCACCCAGAAAATCGCCTGCCTCCGCACCAGCTTTCATCTTAAACTGCAGTGAAACGTCACCTTTTCCAGTTAATTAATATCTCTAAATAATGTCCAGGTTCAAATAAAAGCGTGTTACTTTTAACGATGGCCCGTTGAATGTGATCTGATTATTAAACGCAACATTCAAGGTTGAAAAATAAAATCAGAGTTTCACAAAGATGGACTTTCATCACTTTTAAGGCGTACTATTGCACATATTGTAGTATTCATCTAACTTGATATTATGGTGTTTGGAACCAGCACGATGTCATTGGTGAACTGATGGATAAATGACCTGCATGGAGACCAATTAGCGATACAGGGAGTCAGGGAACATATAGAGGCACAGAGACAAATTCGTCACTTGCTCTTATGTTTTGACTTCATTTCAATTCATACTTTATAACTTTTTTTTCTGCCAATAGTCGGCGCTGTTCGCTAACTTATTTAGGTATATTAATTTGCAGTGATTAAGATGGATTCCTGCACAGTGCATTTGTTGGCAAAACCCCATTCAAGTATGAAATATTAGAATTTGTCACCATCAGTGTGAAGCTGTTTGCTTGGCCAGGTTTCTGTGAAATACATTTAAAGTGAGATTTCAATTGTAATGACAAAGTGACAGATCAGTTCAAATTCTGATATTAAGTTTGAATTTTTAGCTATGAAACTATTACAATACTAAGAATTAGCATATTAATCATAAACATCCTAATTATGAAATTGTCCCTGTATTCATTAAACCCACAACCCCATACTGGATAAGCAGTTGGTAGATGGTTGAATGTTTTCATGTATTGATAAAAAGCAGTAATACATTCACATTACAAATATATAATGTATGATACATTGTATTACACCGTGTCAAATAAATGGTGTCCTTCATGTGTTTCATTTATTAGTTTCTGTCCATCCGTCTTCAGAAGCCTGCAATCTATTTATGTTCATGATGATCCAGGCACTGTAAGTTGAGCATCAGGCAGGAAAAATTCCAGATGGGAGGTGCAGGACACCATCTCTCACTTACACCATCTCTCATTTACACCATCTCTCACTTACACCATCTCTCATTTACACCATCTCTCATTTACACCATCTCTCACTTACACCATCTCTCACTTACATGCACTAAGAGCAGCTTAGAGTTGCTGTACTTAGCTGAAGCTTTTCATCCTAATTCTTTTTGTTTAACATACAGGTAGAATAATGAAATTAGGATTTTTTTTATGTAATTCCTCATTATTAGTGATGCATCAAAGGCTCTAGAATGTGGGCAGAATCATTGTTCAAAGGCAGTCACTGCTTAGCACCTTTCAGTAAGCAGCCACTTTAAGGCACAGTCTATGGCACCGTTCTTATGGCATCAATTCAATGCAAAAATATACACCAGCCTTAAGACATCATCTTTGGGAGGTGCCCCTTGCTGCGGAAAGAGTGTCCTTCAGAGATCCCAGTCTTTGTAATGGAGGTTCTCACAAGTGATTTTATCCACTAGGATTTTTTTCATCATAGTGATACATTTCTTGAAATATACCAACAGGCACCTTGTCAGTATTGTAGTCTTTTATAATAAGTTTTCCTCATTAATATTATTTGTTTTAGCGGTTAATTTTAAGTTGGCCCACTGACCGAATGATATTATCAGCATCCTCAGGGTTCATTTTTTGCAAATGAAGGATCAGTACAAAAATATTAACGATCCAATATTTTTTTTTCTTTAATTTTAGAGGCAGGGGGCTGCAGCAATGCCGTGTCTCAGTGGTTAGTGCTGCTGCCTTCCTGCAAGAAGGTCCTGGGTTCGGTCCCTGGGTCGGGTGTAGGGCCTTTCTGTGTGGAGTTTGCATGCTCTCCCACAGTCCAAAAGTGCGCCGGATAGGTTGATTGGTGTGTCTAAATTGGCCCTGTAGTTGTGTGCGTGTGTGTTTGTCCACCCTGTGGCGTGTTGGCGACTGAAGATCTTTCAAATAAAGGATCAGTGAAACAGACCGATGATCAGATATATCGTCTCTGTTGATTCTGCAGTCTTTGACCAGCTCCCATTTGTCAGTATTAATGAAGAAGTAGTCTGACCTGCTGATTTCAGGTATATTCCTCATGTAAGTGTACTGTTCTTCATCAGGGATTTTTTTTCTCCAAGCATCTACAGGGTTATGTTCACCCATGAAGGGCACCAGCTCCTTCCTTATTCTGTTATGAACAGAGTTGTTGAGTAGACTCCTTCTGTCTTCCACTTTATCAAGTGCAGTGTTGAAGTTCCCCCCGACCACAAGAATATCAGTGTACGGGGGCTTTATTTTTTCAGACAGTTCCTTGAGAAGTCCTCTTTGTTTTTTGTGGTGATACACACTTACAAAAGTGCATAATCTTCTTGATATCCAGCAACTCACAATCACATAACAACCGCTTTGATCTACAATTTCAGGTAAACATCTGAAGTCTCTTTTTTTATTCAGCAGAATTGCAGCTCTATTTTCTAACTTGGAATTATAGCATCCTTTGGACCTGGAATCAAAGCATGTGAAGAATATTTTCCAATCCTCCTTATAATTTTCCCAATCATCTCTATCTTTCACATGAGTCTCTGTTAGGAAAACATCAACCTCACTGTTTTCAGATTTTAATTTTTCAAGTTCTTCTAAGAGTTTTTTGCCATTTTTCTTCAGTCCATTAACGTTGACAGTAAGAATGTGAAGACGTCTCTCTTGCTCTGTAGTTCCGCCGCCCATTTCTCCCATCAGTGCCACTGTTGGCACTTTGGCTCCCCCCATTGGCACTTGGGGGAACTGAAGACTGTATTCAGATGTCTTGTCTTTTCTTTCTTCTTTCATTTTTTTTATATAGTCTTCATCTTCATTTGTTGAGGGAATATTGACAGGATGTAATTCTGTGAGGTCTTCATCTTGCGGCAGGTCATGCACTTTGGAAGAAATCATGCATTCTTGGGTTTCCTTTTTTATATCAAGTATTAGTGAAACAGACCGATGATCAGATATATTGTCTCTGTTGATTCTGCAGTATTGGACCAGCTCCCATTTGTCAGCATTAATGAAGAAGTAGTCTAACCTGCTGTAATACATTACACGGTTGTGCCGATATTTATAAGTGTACTCTCTATCATCAGGGTGGTTCTTTCTCCAGGCATCTATAAGGTCATGTTCATCCATGAAGAACAGCAGCTCCTTCCTTATTCTGTCATGAACAGAGTTGTACTTTTTACTCGTTGTGTCTTCCTCTTCATCAAGTACAGTGTTGAAGTCCCCCCCAACCACAAGAATATCAGTGTACGGGGGCTTTATTTTTTCAGACAGTTCCTTGAGAAGTCCTCTTTGTTTTTTGTGGTGATACACACTTACAAAAGTNGAATATCAGTGTACGGGGGCTTTATTTTTTCAGACAGTTCCTTGAGAAGTCCTCTTTGTTTTTTGTGGTGATACACACTTACAAAAGTGCATAATTTACTTGCTATCCGGCAACTCACAATCACATAACGACCAAGATCATCAAGAGTTTGATCTAAACATCTGAAGCTTGCTTTTTTGTTCACCAGAATTCCGGCTCCTTTGGACCTGGAATCATAGTGTGTGAAGAATATTGTCCAATCGTTCTCATAATTTTCCAAAGTATCATTTTCTCCAATGTGAGTCTCTGTTAGTAAAACAACATCAACCTCATTGTTTTCAGATCTTTTTCTTTCAATTTCTTCTAAGAGTTTGTTGCCATTTTTCTTCAGTCCATTAACGTTGACAGTAAGAATGTGAAGAGGTCTCTCTTGCTCTGTAGTTCCGCTGCCCATTTCTCCTGTCAGTGCTCCCCCTGTTGGCACTTTGGCTCCCCCTGTTGGAACTTGGTGGAACTGAAGACTGTATTCAAACTAAGATCAGATCTGCAAACACATAAAACTCATCATGCCTTGTGCTGTACGGCACATTTCACTTGTTGTCTTGTGTCATCTTGTGTCAAGTACATTTGTCATATATCTTTTTTTATTATTATGGGACAAGATATCTATGTGTGTGTGTGTGTGGATTAGGTTTATTCTCAATTGTCTCTAATAAACAAATCATAACAGATGCTCCTTTTATCATTTTAGGAACGTACATGTCTCATTCATATTTGACAGTGGCTCATTGTATAAATCACTGCATGCTAAACATAATGCACAGTGAGCAGTGTATACATTGGGCAGTTTGTTTGAAGATTTCTAAGAATAAAGAGCTTCCTCCTATTCTACAGGTGCAAGTTATGGCTTATTGTACCACTTCCCCATTCTGGTGGCAGAGGCTGATTATTGAGCTTTGAGAATTTGGGAAATGCATCTTAGCAATTGAGAAAAAATGTAACAATGAACTGTACATACTATAATATGGAGTTTAGCAAAGTCGAAACGGGTGTCTTTGACATGAATAAGTATCAGTTTGCTAAAGAAGAATGATCAGTCAATGACAATGAAAAAGTGGGAACCGACTATCATTCAGAATTGTGGACCTCAGGAACATACTCATACTGTCATACTGGCAATATTTCTAAGCATTTTGACTCTCATTGCTAAAACGATACTGATCCTTTTTAAGGTAGCCATCATCCTCAGAAGTTCTAGATCTCCTGGGAAAGGTCTTGTCTGCCAGGAGCAGAGGAATGTATTTAAATATATTAATTTGGTTGTAGGCGTTTTACTTACACAAAATTGTTCTGAGGGCAGAATGAAAAATGATTGGTTCAGGGAGAAAACCAATCAGACTGTAGAGGAGGTGGGTCTAAGCAACTAGAGGAGGCGGGACCAAGACATCTGCTTGGTTGGTCCCACCTCCTCTAGTTGCTTGGACCCACGTGCTCTGCCATCAGGACATTTTTGTGTAAAACTTTCATGAGCTATTAATTTGTGTGTGTGTGTGCGTGTGCGCATTAGCAGAGATTGCCCTATGTTTGTGCTGCTCTAATAATGGGGGATGGACAGGGTGGTGAGCCTGTGTTCCTTAATACTTTTGGACTGTTCTGCTAGATTCCACTGTCATGTGCAGTAGTCTGATGTCCTGATTGAAGTGCATTCATGTGAATCTGTAATTTATCGAGTGTGCAGTGTTCTGTCCAGTGCTGTGACTGTCCCTGAGACTGAGTGGGTGCCACATGGTGGGACTTTCAAATGTTTAAGGAAACAAAAGGAATTGATTCTTTGTATCTGGCTGTATTTACTAGTAATAAGCTATGGAGTAATTAGTAACATTGCGGCAGCCAAAATTCTGGGTTTATTATAATAATATGAAACCATGACAATATGCCAAAATGCTGCCAAAAAACTAATATTAAATACTAAATAATAATACTAATACTAACATCTGTGGAAAAAAATTCCACACAAAGCAATTTAGCGACTCACCTTAGCAGAGCGTACAGACCAATACATTACAGTACATTTTACGTAGTTTAGTAAACCTATATTCCTATGTTTTCAGAGAGTAAGTACAGCCTAGCAGTGTGTTGTTGCCAGTGTTCTCTTGGGGAGTCAGCATTAAGAAGAGGGATGCTGGACGGCTGCTGAGGAGAGCTGGATCTCCTC